TCCCCACAGAGGAGGGGCTAAACTCAAGGCCCCAAGGGACCCACAAACGGCCGGGCTGCCTGAGCAGGGTGGGGGTGGGGTGCACAGCAGAGGCCCCCTCCAGTGCAAGGTGCCCCACACCACAGGACCCTCCCACGGGACAGCAGGGCAGGCCAGAGGACCCTCAGGGCCCAGAGACATGGCGACCCCCATCCACCGGGAGGCCTGGACTGTGGACGCAGCTCTGGGCTGCAGATCTCCAGGGCAAGAGGAACCGGGATCACCCCCACTGGGTCCTCATCAGTTCCTCCCTGTGAGAGCCTCTCTCCCACCCTGAGCGGGCGCACATGGTGGGGGCAGGGATGGAGGAAGGTCCTCCTGTGGCCTCCTGATCCCACTGCCCCCTTCAGTGGTCAGAGCCCTGCTGTGGGCAGCTCACCTGGCTTATCCAGACCCCCATCCCAGGAATCCCTCGCACATCTGTGGGGCCCTGGCCTGAGGGGACCTGGAGGACTCTTCACAGGAGCCTGAAGCCCCAGGAGCGGGGGCCTCCAGGGAGCAGCCTCCCAGGGCAGCCTTGGGTGGACCTTCCCAGGGGTCTCTGTCTGATTTGCACAGAGACAGACCGGGGCAGTGAGGGTGTACAGCCAGCTGGGGTGGTGGGGAGGAGATGCAGGTATGGGGCCAGCAGGCCAGGCCACAAGCCAGACACATCCCAGACCAGGACACAGAGGTGGGCAGCCTAGAGCACTTGGGGACGAGATCAGGATTCTAGTCACACACCTGACAGAACCAAACCCCTGCTGCAAAGGGACGCCCCCGCATGCTCATGGGGACCCACATGGTGGAGCCCTAGAAGGGTGACACTCACGGCAAGCAAGAGCAGACACCGGAGGGCCTGCTGGCCCCTCCAGCTCCACCTGACGTCCTCTGCCTCCGCCTGCCTCCAGGAAGGCCCTCGGGGAGGACCACACGCAGCCCCCGGCTCTGCTCACCCCACAGCAGCTCTGGCGCCTCTGAGGCCGCTTCCTGTCTCCTGGAAGCCCCTGGGCTCTTCACTCAAAGGGTGATTGTGCCCACGCCAGCAGCAGGTGCAAGTGCCACGTGGCTCCCCAGGCCACATGGGCACAAGAGGGACATTCTGTCCACACTTGGCAGGTGCCCCACAGCCTGGGCCCACCCGGGCTGGTGTCAGCACAAGCTCAGCCTCAGCCAGGAGGAGCCGGAGGTGCATGCCTCAGGGAGCAGACGGAGGGAAACAGGCTTCAGATGGGACAGGCCACCACACAGCACACTCCCCGGCCCAGGCCAGGCTCTGAAAGGTCTCCGCATGTCCCCTAGTCTGAGAGGAGGAACAGGGCTCCCAGCACTAGCCGCCTACTCACATGGCCAGCTCAGCAGGTTTGGGGTTGACCAGGACGGCTGTCCCAACACCCCCTGCCCGAGGCGGAGCCAAGGAGGGGAAGCCGAGGCCCTGGAGGTGACGGGACCCCCAAGACAAACTCGTCTTCTGGCACCTGGACCCCTGAGCCCCTGCAGAGGTTGTAGGGGTCATTCTGTGGCTCAGCAGGGGATGGCCAGACCTCTGGCCACAGCCTGCTCTGTGTGGGCTCCAACCTGGAGTTCTGAGGCCAGGCTGAACCCATGGGCCAGTGGACCTGAACTGAACCCCCTGGGGCCGTGAGCTGGGATAAACCTTTCCTCCTGTGGGCAGATTTTCTCAAGCACTTCCTCACAGTGACAAAGTTGACCAGCAAGGTGACAAAGAGCAGCCCCATAAGACAGAGAGAGTGAGCCCTCTGCCTCAGTCAGAACCTCGGCCTCAGCAGGACGTCCCTTGTGTCTGTCCAACACAAGAAAAACAGCTTTGTCTGCCATACGAACCAGGGAAAAAAAAGAAGAAAACATGAATAATATTTTAAAGACCATTTCTAGACACATTCTCTACCTGTGCTGCTCAGTCAAGCCATCCACTCTGGCAAACGAAAGAGATGGCTGTGCCATCAAACTCCAGGTGCTTCTGGGGTGGTTATTCCCGCGTTCCTTGCTAAAATGCAAACAGCTGACGCAGCTCCCGAACCCCCTTAAGATGGAACGGGGATGGGACGGGGAAGAGGGTTTTTAAAAACCAGGCTGCTGTGGGGCTGCTTTACCCCAACCCTGGTCCGTAGCCTCTGTAAGACCAGCTCTCGGAATGAAGTCCCAGGGTCCGCCGTGCCTCCAGGCGGCCTTAACCAGACCTACTGTCAGACTGGGACTTGGATTCAGCTGTCTTTATAAAAGCTGGTGAGCTTCTAGCACTCTGTTTTTTGTCTCATGACCAGAATTCTAAAATGAAAACGGTGAGATCTCTGTGCACACATGTGCACGTATGTTATGCAGGTGGACCTACCGCAGCTGTCCTCAGGTCCAGTCCCTGAGGGAGTTCTGGGTCAGCTCACCGACGGCAGGTGTGTGTTCACATAGATGAAAACCGCTTAGTCACCCAAATGCCTCCGAGTGCTCGCGATGTGAGTCAACCTGTGGTGAACAAGTCGGTTTTACATTTACTAGTAAAGTAAAAATGAAGATGTCTTTAGAATTGTTAGCCTTCATTTTTGCCTGGGTTTGCTGCCAGGCCGGGTCATCTCCATCTTGGCTAGATGTTGAAGACCATGAAAATGTGAGTCTGACTTAAGAGTAAATAAGCAGAAGGGGCCCTTCCTGAGCTTCCAGCCCAGCAGTTAGTCTGTGAGGTAGGGTATTTATGAACCAGGAAATAATTGGAAATTAAGCCTCTGCCTGCCTAAGATCTCAGTTTCCATAAGTGATCTGGGTATGTAAAAGCTTATATTACTTTATAAAAGCTTTATTGTTAAAAATAGACATCTGAGGTGAATGGAGATGTTGGAAGTGGTGCCAGAGCAGTCACAAAGCTCATGCCTGGCTACAGGATGTACAGTGGACCTCACTGCCCGCAGCGCCCCGCATACCCTAGGCCCTGATGCTCTACAGAAAAGACAACGTGTGCGCTTGGGTCCGCTGAGATCCCCGTCACATCAAGAAGCAAACTTGTTCTAGAAGAAGCACATGTTTCAAAAACTTCTAAGATGTGTTTTTATAAGCTGATGATATGTGGCAGGTAACTGAGAACATCTCTCCCCCTGGGACTTCACTAGAAATCAAGGTTACTAAAAGCTAAAAATTTAAATTAATATCTATTATTCTACATACAAAGAATACATGAAGAAAATGTGTTTTTGATGAGAAAAACTATAAAGACTATAGAAAATCATTTTTATTCATAAAAAAGACTGATTTGCCTAATTTCAGAAACTTTTAATGGATTGCCTCAAAAATGCAAATTTAAGGAAGGAATAAAAGAAGTCGGGCCAGAGGATCACAAGTTCAAGCCACCCTCAGCAAAAGTGAGGCACCAAGCAACTCAGTGAGGCTCTGTCTCCAAGTAAAACACAAAATAGGGCTGGGATGGGGTTCAGTGGCGGAGTGCCCCTGAGTTCAATCCCTGGTACCAAAACCAAAAGCACAGGAAGGCTTTTCTCAAGGTGTCTTCTGCTCTTGGTAAAGTCTTGTTTGTTCGTTCTGGGGGTAAAGTTTTCAAGAGACTCTTATTGAATTCTGTGACCTGTGTTGAGTCTTCAGCCGTCTCTGCCTCTGCAGCTCTTCTGCCGTGTTCCCAGGTGACAGTGGCTCAGCTCTCTGTTTAGGTCCTGTAAGCGCCTGCTCCATCAGAGACAGGGAGACGCGGCTCCCAGGTCAGCCTGGAAGCATCTGCTCTAAGGACCTGCGGAGCTCAGCGCTCTGTTCCGGAACTCTCATGGTGGCTGTGAACTGTCCTGGGTGTCCTCTGTAAAACACTGTCTCAGGCCCTGCAAGGCCCCCAGGAGCGCTCCCTCCTCCAGTGGGGTGCACACAGCCTCAGACACTCTCCCAGGGTCTGTCTCGTTAGACCTGGGCCCTGGTCAGGACTGACCTGTGAGTTGCCAGGCGGCCTCTGCAGGGAGCCCCATAGGGGTCTTCTGTACTCTTGGTGACTAGTCTGTGTTGGGTGAAGACGATTTCCTGGGTCTTGTGCTCTTGACTGGGGTTCTTATTACTGAGGAAAATTAAAAGGTGAAGTGTTTGGGGTTCGTGCCTTTTTGTTAAGTCTTTTAATCACTTTACAACTCAGGAAGTGACCCTCTGTGACTCTGGCCGACTGTCCCTGCTCTCAGCTCACAGGGTTTCAGACTTTCTGGCATTGTTGGGGACATTCTCTGAGCCAAGCTCTGCATGGTGTGCTTTGGCTTTGGAGATTTTGGAGGTGGCCTTGGATATCCCGCAGGTGCATCTCCTCTCTTGTGGAGATGATGAACTCATTAGGCTGATTTGATGACTCGGAGAAACACTATCGAAAAATATAGTGACGCTGAACCCTAATGTCCTGTGATGGCCTTCTGACAGTTAGTCACAACTGTCACCCTAAAAGGCTGCGTGCAGTGGGAACACCTGGGCCTCTTTCTCACCTGCCAAACCATCAGCAGAATTTTAAATCTGTACTTTTACAAGTACACATTCACCCACAGATTTAATTTTTCTCAAAAAAAGCTTCAATCAGGTTCATGAAGAAGGCCACTCTTGAATACAGATTATTCTTGCTCTTAAGATCAGCGGAATGAATAGAGATCACCACAGTGCCATTGAAGAAAGGGGTGACCAAGCAGGAAGACTGACTCATGCCCCCATGTTGGAGGGCCTGGCTGGCACCCTGGGTCCTCATCCAGACCCCTGAGCGGTCAAGGGCCTGGCTGGCACCCTGGGCCCTGGACCCATCCCCTGTGCAGTCGAGGGCCTGATTGGCACCCTGGGCCCAGGTCCTGTCCTCTGTGCGGTCAAGGGCCTGACTGGCACCCTGGGCCCTCCATCTAATCCCCTGCACCCAAAGTAATAAGAAACAGCAACAAGTACTCTTCGCGGGATTCTGAATTCACCAGTAGAACTTTCTGTCTTCATCTAAAAGGCTGAGTTTTGCTTGAGTTTCCCCTAGTCTGAGGGAGCTTCTCCTTCAAGTGATCTACAGTCAGCACAATTTGGACGTGGGCTTTTCTGAATGTAGGTTGTTGTGGTTCAGATGTGAGGCGTCCCCAAAGCCCAGGCGTGAGGCGGGGTGAGGAGGTTCAGAGGTGCAGAGACTGGGTCAGGAGGGCCTTACCTAAGCAGTGCACTACTCCCTGACAGGGATTAGCTGGGTGGTGACCACAGGCAGGTGGGGTCTGGCTGGGGGGAGGTGGGTCCTGGAGGTGTGCCTTCGGGTGTATATTTTGTCCCTGGTCAGTGGAGCTCTCTCTCTCTCTCTCTCTGCTTCCTGGCTGCCAAGTGTTGATAACTGCCTTCCTCCCCCACACCCTCCACCACGACATGCTGCCTCACTTGGACCCAGAGCAATGGAGTCAGCGTCTGTGGATGGTTCTCACAGAACATTCAGGACACTTTTCCTTTCCTTGTACTACGGTGAACACTCACAATTCTCTATCACAAGCCACACGCATTTTCAAGTAGTAATAAACACCCCCATGTTTCCCTCCAAAAGAGACATTACCAGTTTACATCCCCACCAACCTCGAAGGCAGAAACAAAGATGTGAGCTGATGCTGGACTTCACTTCTCCGGCGTGCGGCTGGGAGCAAGATGGCTGTGTGGTGCCAGGCCTTGGGCCACCAGCCCTGCATGTTCAGGCCAGCACTGACTCCTCCCCAGTTCACACGCGGCCCATGGGAGCGGAGCACAGTCCCTTTTTCTGTGGGAGCTGGTGGGTGCTGCCTGAGGCCCAGGAAGTCCTTGATGTGCCACATGGTATGCATCTGGAATGTCCACTGAAGGCTTGTGTGTGGGCAGGCAGCAGTGTCCAGAGCTGGGCTCTAGGGCACCAATTGGCTCAGAAGTGGGATGCATAGCTGAATGGACTACGGGGGGGTGGGGCCCAGGGGGAGGGGATGGGTCATCTGGGCATGACCTGAAGGGATCACCTAGGTGACAGCTTTGACCTGACACTCTCCCTGCCACCTGGACCAAAACCTCTGAAACCCTGAGCCGAAAGAAGCCTTCCCCTGTTTTCTGCAGTACTTTGTCACAGTAATGAGCGGCTAACGCGAAGCTGGGACCCCGAGTCCCTCCTCGGCTTGGGGGACTCTGCCATCCGTGGTTTCACGGCTTCCCATCTGCGCCTCTCCTCGTCTTCGGACCCCTGTTCTCTGCACGTCGGCTCGTCCTGAATCCGCATCCCCTTCTCCACTTTCCCCCAGAACCTGCACCTGTGACTTCCTCTGCACTGAACACGGCCAACCTGGACTCAGCCAATGTCTCTGCTCTTCACAGCCTCTGCTCAGGTTTGGAAGCCATATTCTCCTAGTTCCAAGTCTGTCGCAACATCTCTGATCTCACTGAGAATGCACTGTGAAACACGAGCCCACGTAGACTTTTCCTCCTGCACTGTCCTTGCCGGCCTTCGGTCCCAGCAGAGAGCCAGCTGACTGAAGACAGGTGCGGCATCTACTGTGTTTCTCCTTATTAGATTCCTGCAGAATTAACAAATTATCCGTGTATATATTTTACTTTTTATGACGTGATTATTTGTACAAGTTCAGTGAAGACCCATCCTCTTTGTTATAGGATAAGAAGCCTGCTTCGAGGGGCTTGGTCTTCCAGGCAGTGGATGAGGGCCGGAGCCTTGGGCCTTGTGCTGCAGGTGAGATCCGTGGCCCCGGACTTGGCCTCCAGCCTTAGGAGCTTTCTTATTTTGTTTTGTTTTGATTTTTGCACCAGGGATTGAACCCAGGTGCACTTAACCCCTGACCCACATCCCCAGCCTTTTCCATTTTTCATTTTGAGACAGGTCACGCTAAGTTGCTGAGGCTGGCCTTGAACTTGCAATCCTCCTGCCTTAGGCTCCGAGTCACTGGGGTGACAGGCTAGTGCTACTGTGCTGGCACCCCAGGAAGCCTCTGCTCCATGACCACTACCTGGCAGATCACAGTTCTCGCTGAACTTATGTAAATCATCAAGTAAAACCAAACTTGTTTTGCAAACCAACTGATTTTTCTGTGGTGATCATCTTTGATAGAAATTGGTATGAACATGGAGAGAAATTAAGTTTCTAAAGAAAACTGTGGTGCACTTGTGATCAGAGTGTGGCTCTGTTCATGGCTTTTCAGGTTTTTTGTTTGGGGATTTGGGGATTTGGGAGTTTTTTGTTTGTTTGTTTGTTGAATCTACCCGTAGACTGGTCTACAAATTCTTCCTGGGTCCCCCCACCCAGTTTTCTTCCATGGAATATCTAAGAACAGGGTCTGCTCTTTCCTAACGTCCCAGCCACTGAAGATGCCCAGCTTGAGGTGAGGGTCGAGGGACAAGCCTCATTCCCCAGACCCCACCAACTGCCCAATGCTGTACCAGAGACATTTCAAACCACCCACCAGATGGGGAATCAACTTAGACTCCACATCAGACTGAGATTCTTGCCCCTTTAACCTTCCTCAAGAGGCACATTTTAAAAGCACAATCCCCAGTGCAGAAAGGTTCAGAGGTGGGGCTTTTAGGCAGTGATTAGATTTTGAGAGCTGTAACACTGGTGGATTAATTCACTTGATGGATTAACAATTTCATTGGATGACTGGGTGCTAACTGTAGGCAGGTAGGGTGTGGCTAAGGGCATAGGTCACTGGGGCATGACCTGGAGACTATATCCTGTCCCTGGCTTCTCTCTCTCTCTCTCTCTGTCTCTCTCTCCCTCCCCCCCACTCCTTCCTGACTTCCATGAGCCAACAGCTCTCCTCTGCCACCCCCTTGTGCCATGAGTTCTGCTTTACCTCAGGCCAGAGCAGTGGACTAAACCTCTGAAACTGTGAGCCCCAAATAAATTTTCCTCCTCTAAGTTGCTCTTGTTGGGTATTCTGACTAACACACCCCTCTCATTTTCTTCTTGCCCAGGCCTGCCTCTTCACAGGCAATGCAGTAGTTAACCCCTCGTGGTCCACGGCTACTGGGGGCAGCATGGCGGGCGGGACCCAAGAAGCCCTTAGGTCCACCGAGTGGGTGTTGTTGGCAACATCTCCACTGCAAGCCTGTTCAGAGGACACTGGTGGTCCTTTCCCATGACACTGTTCAGCTCAACCCACCCACGGGCTATCGAATGATAAAACCACTCTCAATTATTTATTGTTATGTAAAAAAAAAATGCCTGTGTTGCTGCTGCTACTAAGTGTTCACCTGGATAAATCCCTCTGGGTACATTGAGACCCAATGATAAAATAAGACAAAGATCTAGTGGCTTGATTCAGAACCAGCGGGTCCTTGGCATACCTGAGGGAAAGAATTTCAGCAAGAGCCAGACCAAGGCGTGGATAGGGGCTTATGTAGGCAGTAGATCCACACTCAGGGGAGCACATGGCCATCTCAAGAGTGAGCAGCCCCATGTGGGCTGGGATCCAAAACGTAGAGACCGGCTGTACTTAGGAGCTGGGCTGGAGGTACAGGGTGCAGCTGCACAATCCCCGACTTTCCCTGCAGTTGTGCACGTGTCCCTCCTTTTACAGGAGGAGTGTGATTTCTGCCTCTCAGTGGCTCCTGGATGGTTCCTTCACAACTCAATGTCTCTCTCTCTCTCTTTATCCTAAATCCTTGCCTATGTTACAGGTGCCACCTCGATCTCCTTGGTCCTGGGCCCATAAAGCCAGGTCCCAGGTATTATGCAAACCAGATCTGGCCTCCTCTTGGGTCTTGTATTGTCCTCCTTAAACCCTACACCTGTGGCCTGCCAGACTTCTACAGAAGCACGACTCACAAAATGACTTCAGTGCTCGAGGTGAGGGGCACTGCCTACAGAACAGAAGACGCACACTGGGCAACAGGCTCCCAGCAGATGTGGCCTAAGGACCTCTCCCCCCACGCTCCTGGCCACAGACGTGGCTCGGCAGATCTTGACACTGACCCATGGTCGCCAGGTGCCCCCCCCCCAGGTGGGACTAGCCCAGACCCAGAACTGATACAGGCCCCTCCCGCACCAAGGGACAATCACAAGCTGACTACAAGTCAGATGACCAGAGACGTTTCCAGACGGTCTCCATCACAAGAGGGAAATGCAAAAATGGCAGGATTGGAACACCATGGCTCCAGCCTACCCTGACAGAAGTGTATCCAGGAGGCTGGAAGGAGTGTGGGCTTGGCCTGTAGGGAGCTGTCAAAACACAGTAGCAGCCCTCCCCGGAACTACAGCTTTTTAATTTGGAGATTTCACATAAAAACGTGTATTTCCAGGGCTGGGGCGGGGGCTCAGCAGTACCACACTTGCCTGGCACGTGTGAGGCACTGGGTTCGAATATCAGCACACATGTAAATAAATAAAAAATAAAGGTCTATCAACAACTAAAAAAATAAAAAAACCCTGAATTTCCAGCTTCTCTTGAGAATGCAGGTCTGCCTCTGGGACTCCCTGGGGGCCAGCCCACAGCCCTGCCCCTGGCTCCCCAGCTGCCACCCATCGCCCCACAGGCCAGGTCTGTGCCAGCTCTTGGTGGAAGGGCTCTGAAGACAGCTCACTGTCCTCCAGAAACACATCCCTCCCGGCCCCAGCCCTACAGCCACACGGCAGCTCAGACCCGAGGCTGAGAGGGCCCAGGAGTGGACCGCTGCTCCACCTCGGCCAGGCGCGCCCAGACACAGCCCTGCTCTGCTGCCTCTGTTACCGAGGTCCAGGTCAAACCTCTGTTATTCCTGCACAGGCATTCTTCACCCCCGGCTGGCATTGTGGTACCGCTGTGGCGGGTCCAGGAACGCGTCCAGACTTCGGAGTCCTTGGAAGGCGGCAGGTAGTCCTGGTGGTGGGTGAAGGAGGCCTCCATCTGCGCCTCGGGGTTTCTCAGGATGGAGAAGTAGAAGGTGTTGTTGGGCATGACTTTCTGCACCTGTTCCCAGAAGGAAGAACCCATCGGGTGCTGGGTGAGGGCTGAACCTACTCACAGAGACCCCAACCTCCTGCCTGCAGGTGCCGTGAGGCCTGTGGCTTGTCGTCGGTGGACTCCCCCCAGAGCCCAGACCCAGTGCCAGCCCCACATGGCTCACTGGTGCTGTGCATCAGACCAGGCCACCTTGCCTTCTGCCAGCCATTCTCCCCGGAACACCCAGAGAAACCCTGAAAGGCTACACCCTTCCCCATTCAACTCCTCCCCGCCCCTTAGGGTCTTTCTGAAAGCAGCTCAGGAATCCCCTGGGAGGAGTTCATCTCAGCTGAGACCTCAGGACCTGGAGGAGGATCCATGGAGCCCACCCTCACCAAAGGCAGCTGCAGAGGTCGGAGGTGGAAGACGGGCTTGCTCCGGGAGCAGGGGGCAGAGAGAAGGAGAGGGCTGCCCTCTGGTACAGGGCAGGCAGGCTAGTCTCCTTCCAAGGGCAATTAACTGTGGCCCAGCGGCCCAGCCCCTCAGCCGAGGCCCTTCTCTGTCCTCCGGGCTGCGTCTGCCCAAGCCCCAGTCCACACCTCAAGCCCAACCTCCAGCCTGCACCACCCACACCTCGGGCAGGTTGATGTCCAAGTGCGGGGAGGATCAGGCTCATCCTGGTGGGCGCTCTCCACGTAGTGTGCCAAGAAGCGCCAGGGAGAGGCCAGGGAGCCGACAGCGGGCAGTGCTGTGGTCAGGTTGTGGTAGAGGACTTTGAGCACCGTGCTGCCGGCTGTCTTGTGGGTCTTGAGGAACACGACATTGGTGGTGGGTGGCCCCTCAGCCTGGCCACTGAACAGGCTGGAGGAGAACACAGGCCACAGTCACATGCCCGGCACCCAGCCGTCCACCCTGGGGACAGCCAAACCTCTGCCATCACCGTGCCCTCCCAACACCGTGGCCAGCCTCACCTGAAGACCTCCGAAGCCCCTGGCACAGAGGGACCTGCAGGGCAGGCATGACCACCTCCATGGCCATCTGTTCCCACACAGGCTGCAGGCTCAGGCCCCAACCTGCTGCTGACCACCAGGGCACCTGGCACTGGCTGGCTGACCTCAGCCACACATCCACCATTTCCTGGCTGACCCTTCACCCCGCAACCAGAAAGGGCCCTGACACCCGGCCACTCAGCCTGATGCAGGGCCAGAGAGGGAGAAGGCTGACTGACCGGGTGTCAGGGCCCTCCCCGCCCCAGTGTAGGACAGGAAGAGTGACCGGAAGGGGCTGGGGTTGTAGCTCAGAGGTACAGCACTGGCCTCGCAGGTGTGAGGCAGCGGATCTGACCCAGAGCACCACAAGAAAATAGATGCATAACGTCTAAAGAGAAGCCGTGTCTGATGGTGAACAATGGGGGAGGGCGCTGGGGACGCAGCTCAGTTGGTAGAGGGCTTGCCTCACAGGCACAAGGCCTGGGGTTCAGTCCCCAGCACCAAAAAAAACCCAAAAAGAGTGATGAGGAAGACAAGGGACAACGAAGTCTGGGCAAGGACCTGGCAAAGATATGACTGTCCCCTCTGCGTCCTCCCTGCCCAGGCGGCCCATGCCCCCACAGCCCTGCCCAGAGATCTGCTAGGTGGGTGGCCACGCTGACAGAGCCCCTGGAGGCCCAGCATGCTCATGGGTCCCCCCAAGGAAGGGCCACCACCTTCTCCCAGAGGGAAGATGCTGCCTGCCATGTGCACTGACAGGTGCAGGGGCCCCCATGTGAAAGGCAGCCTCCCAGAGCGCGGGGTGACCCGTGGCAGGACTTACCGAGTGAGCAGCCCAGTAACCCGCCGAAGCACCACCAACGCCAGGAGGAGGGCCCAGAAGGACCTGTGGGCAGGACCCCTCAGTGCCACGCAGGATGGCACTGCCCACCGACCCACCCACCCGTCCGGGAGCCCACCCAAGTCTTTGGGCCATGGCCCAACAGGGGTCTGGGCCCCTCATCCCGTAACAGCCGGTGTGTGGTGCACCTGAGGTCCCTCCACAGTGGGCAGGCGACCCGGGCTCCCCGATTCTGCTCAGAACGAATTACAGGGGATGCTGTGGACTGAACTCTGCCCTCAAATCCATGGCCAGGTCACTGCACACACCACACCTCAGGCCACCAACACAGTGTCACCAGCTACTGTCCCACTGCACACCCGCGGTTCCACCCGGCCAAGTCCCAGTCCTGCTGAGGGGACGCCCCTCCATTCCCCACACTTCCTGCAAGTCTGTGGACATCGAGCTCCGGAGCCAGCACATGGGGTTCCCCGTGGCCCCAGGGGGACCAGGGGCCTTAGTAAGCAGTATACCCAACCCTGAGGGACTCAGCTTGAGCTCCCCAGTCTTCCGGGGACAGGTGGAGAAGCCCACGTGGGGGCCAGTCCCCCATGGAGGTGCCTGCATCCAAGTCAGGGGTCAAGCCTCCTGGCCTGAGTCATGGGCTCTGTGCCATCCACGGGCCACCGAGGCTGCTGCCGATCCAAGGGAGGGGGCCGTCATGCCCCTCACCTCCGCAATGAGTCGGAGCTGAACCCTCACTGATGAGAGCCATGCAGAGCCTGACCTGGCACGGCTGGCCTGTCCTTCTCACTGTGTCGACTGCCCACGAAGCCTTCCTCAAACACTCTGTTTCTGCTGGATCCTGTGGGTCTCCCAAGCTCCAGCACACACTGACCATCTGTCCAGTGGTTTGCTAGCACCCAGGCTGGGTGGGTTCTGAAGCAGAGGCAAAGACCCGTGCCCGCTGCTGTGTCCGCAGCCCATACAGCCCACCTAAGAGGGCAGCCACATCCACGCCCTCGCACCCTCAGCCCAGGCTATCTTGCTCTTGACGTATAAGGACAAACATAAATCTTAAACTTTTAAAATAAACTGTAGTTCCCTGGTGCAAAAGAGAAAAGAACTTCCTTCTTGGTGCATCAAGGTCAAACACTGGCGACTGAGTTCTTTCTCTGCCCTTCCTTCACCCATGAGATGGAGAAAACTCTTTGAAAACTTGCTAAGCCCTCTGCCAGCTTCACAGCCCAGCACTCTTAAGCACCTGGGCAGCCTCTGTGAACACTGCCCACCAGGGCAGGCCAGCTGGTACCTGGCTCCAAGGCACTGGTCTGCTCCCTGCTGGAAAGACAGGAGAAGTTACTTTTCCTTTGTATGAAGCCAGTCAGCGAATGCAGGTTGCTGCTCCAGTACCAGATGGACCTGAGATGGGCTCCAGGTAAGAGGGGTGCTGTGAAGTCCTCTTATCTGAGCGCCGGTGGTCGTCCTTCTGGAAACCGTGGTGTGACAGCACACCTGCCAGAACTCCTGAGCATGCCCTGGGGCTCATCCTTCTGTACCCAGACAACCCCAGGCCCCAGTCCATTTCTGCCCTAAGAAGGCCGTATCCCACATTCCTGCCCAGCAGTCCCGAGACGTCCCCACCATTTTACCTTTCACCCTTCCATTTTACCCTTCCTCAGCCTCTGAGGTCTCCATGGAGCCCAAGGGCAGGACCAGCGCAATCTATTCCTCCTCTGACCTGCAGCATCCTGGACTTCAAGAGCTGCAGCTGTCTTGGTCCCTGGAGATGTACAACCTGCCCAGCCGGCAGACATGCCATCTGCTGCCAAATGAGCAAGTCATAGCTTCTGCAGACCAGCTGGGGTCAGAGGAGGGGGGCAGGCAGGGCATCGGCCTCCTGGTACTCCCAAGCCCGCCTGTGGTCTCCCCAGTGCTCTCAGCGAGTATGGGGCCCAGCCGAGCCCCCAGGAGAGACAGCACTTTCCGGATCTGGTGCCAGCCCCTTACCACCTACTACTGCCTCTGCTTGGGCAGCTGTGGAAGTGTGGGGCCCCAGCCCACTGGACCCTAATAGATCCCTAGAAGGACCCATGGCCACTGTGTATGCCGGCAGAAGAGGTGGCTGGCCCCTCACAGTGGTCAAACAGTGTCCAGGCAACTCCCCCTCTCCAGAGGGGTGCTGCTCTCAGCAAGCAGCACAGCGCCCCTGGTGTGGGGGGAAGAGAAACCCTACACAGCACGTCCCAGCCCCCCTTCCAGAAGCTTCCGTGGCAAGCCCAGCCTAGCTCCAGAGAGGAGCATGGGCAAGGAGGCAGAGGGCCAAGCCACTCGCAAGAATGTGCCCCCACACCCCTCTGTGAGCCAGACCTCCTGTCCTTGTGTCTGGCACAGGCCCCCGTCTACGGCCCAAGAGAAAGACCACCAGCCCCACAGCCTGAGCCGCCACACCCCAGCAGAGGGACATCCACTCAGAGGCCCCAGGACCCACAGCTGCACCACCACCAGGGCAGGGAAGGGTGATGGACCTGCCCCAGAACTCTGCCTGCCACACCAGCGTCCCCAAGGGTCCTGGCAGGCTGTTGGCAGCAGGAATGCTCTCCGAGACGCTCCTTCCCCAGGTTCCTTTCATCAGGGGCTTGGTTAGGGAAGTTGCCAGGGCCACTGTCCCTGGCCACCTGGGCCATACCTCCCCCAGGCTCTGAACCAGCCTTCCCCTGGCAAGAATGCCCCATGGAGTCCTGGCTGCACCCTGGCTGGGGAGTGTCCTGCTTCTCAGCCAGCCTGGCTCTGTGGGCATGGGTCCCCCCAGGGGTCAGGGTGAGGTCCACCCGAGTGCTGGCACTGCTTCTCCCAGGAGATGAGCTGGCTCATACATCAGCCAGGCTTCTCCAAGGACACACACAGTGACCCCCTCCTCAGGCAGGGCCAGGGTCACGCGACAGCAGACAGGAAGGTGCCCTGCCTGGGACTCAGGGCTGGGCAGGGAAGGTGGCCTCTTCAGTCCTCCCCTAGCCACAGGTGACCCGCAAACAGGCCGAGCTTCCCACTCTCCCCTGCTCTCCTGCACAAGGCCACCAGCCCCCCAGGGCCAAAGCCCAGCTGTCCAAGAGCTCCAGCTGTCTTGGTCCCTGGAGATGCACAACACAGCCCTCCTGGGCCACAGAGCCTCCCATGGGGCCACTGCGGGACCGCATGCCCCCACCTTGGGGCCTCACAGTGACTCACAGGCCCACACAGCCCTTTCTGGGTCACACAACCCCAGGGGCAGCTCTGTCCCCTGGCAGGACTCCCCTAGACTCCATACTCGAGGAATGTGGCTTGGCAGGAGGCCCTGACCTCAGGTCGGGGTCACAGGCAGTGACAGGAGACGAACAGAGATGCCCCCAGTCAGGGACACCCTGACCCTCCTGGAAGTTGAGAGGCTGTGCCTCAGTCATGGCAACGGGAGCCCCCGCAGGCCTGGTCCTTCTGGGCACAGGGCTCTGCATGATCCTCATGCCTTCCCTTGGCAGGTTGGGTTCACTGTGGGCACCAGAATCGGGCAACCCTGGCCAGGTGACCTCTCGTCTTGGCTCCAGGCAGTACCACAGACTGCCTAGGGCCACAGCCACACCTTCCTGGCTGCACTGCCCACAGCTGCCCCTCTCCCCAGAGCCATGGCTTTCTGCCTCCCGACCAGCTGAGCTTGCCGGCCCAGGACTGGTGAGTCTCCGGCACTTACACAATTCTAGGAAAATACACAAGGGGCTGGAGGTGGTTCCTGGGTTCAGGGCTAGAAGTGACTCAGCACAGCCCGGGAGGCTGAGCCCAGTGTGGTGTCCTCAGAGCCACCGGGGCTGCCAGCCTGTGAGGCAGGGTCTGAAGCCAGAGAGGCCACCACCAGAAGCCCACCCAGCCAGGTGCCGTGACACATGCCTATAATCCCAGCGGCTCGGGAGGCTGCGGCACGAGGATCGAGAGTTGAAAGCCAGCTTTGGAAGCACTAAGCAACTCAGCGAGACCCTGTCTCTAAATAAAATACAAAATAGGGCTGGGGATGTGGCTCAGTGGTCGAGTGCCCTTGAGTTCAACTCCTGGTATCAAAAGAAGAAGAAGAAGAAGAACCCACCCAGGATCCCAGAACCCATGCCCAGGGCTCCTGGGTCTCTTGCAGGCAATGGACTCACTCCTGGGAGCACAGCAGGGTCCATGCAGATGTGTCCTGGCTACAAAGACAGCCAATCAGGGGCCCTGGCAACCAGAGGACCTGAGCGTGGCCCCCAGCAGTGAAGGGACCAGACCCAGCTGTGGCACCTGCAGCACAGCGCGTGCTGTGAACGTGCAGTCTGAGGGCTGGGGACAGGGGCAGAAGGAGGGAGCCAAAATGGAAGCCCCTCCCTCCCTCAGCCACGAGCCAGAGGGGTTCTGTGAGGAGGCGCCAAGCGTTCATCCCAGGAGTCCGTCCCAGGCCTGTGGCCCACAGAGGAGGCAGGAGGACCCGGCAGAGAACGTGGGCTTCACTCTGTAGAAACCTCCCCAACTGAGGAGCCACAGGAGTGAAACGCAGCGGGTCTGGGCCACAGCGCCTCCTCCAGACCCACACTGAAGAGAACCCTGCTCTGCTGCCCCTAGAGCGGAAGCAGCAGGTCCCAGCCCAGCCACACCCCACAACTGCTGCAGCAGGTCAGGGACAAGCACCTGACCCCTGAGCTCCCTATACTGCATACATGTGTCAGGGGCTCATGCCCCAGAGTGTCCCTTCAAACACAGGGTCCAGCTTTGGGATGGGACAAAGACCTCCACACCAAGCCAGGTCCCAGCCCCATGGCCCCTCCCCCAGCCATCAGCCCAGACACTCAGGTGGTCCCAAAGCCCCTATGCTGGGGGTGCAGCACAGACCCCACAAGCTCCCAAAATACAAAGGACTTGCCCAGGAAGGACAGAGACGGGTCCCCTCTGTCTGAAATGAAAACAAATGGCCAAACTCAGGAATGTGCCCAGGTCAATCCCCCAGATCCAAATAGACTTCCTTTTAGAGACCAACAGGAGCTCCTCTGCACTTCTCAGGATGTTCAGGGAGTAAGGGCCGTTGTCCTCCTACACTGTCCTCCTCACCTCAGCAAGCCGCTCCGCCTAGGAGGCATGCTGGCCTCAGAGCCGCGAGCACCGTCAGTAGGTTCAAGTGCCCCCAGGTCCCCTGCATTGGGCACCTGCTGGTTACAGCTCCCTGGGGCACAGGCACCAGGCAGACGTGGCAGCTGTACAGAGCATGACTTTAAGCCCCAAGAAGCTCACCTGCAGCTCAGGTGGGGCCACGCCCTCTCTCACCTCAATCCTCAGGCTTAAATGTTCTGTTCTCAGGAAGAACTGGACCTTCTGGCCTCCTTCCCTGACCCCCCTCCTCCATCACCAGGTGAGGCCTGGCAGCAGAGGAGTGTTCTGGGAGAGTGGGCTTGGAGGAAGCTGTCCCCACTGGAAAGGGGCCCACAAGGGCCACCAGGGATTCCGCCTCCAAATAAAAACAGGACATGAATATCCTGATGTGTGGAAGGTCGAGATTCACAGATCAAGGATGATGGGATGAGGCACAGGCTCGGATGCCAGAGGCGCTCTTCTGAGACCTTCCTTTACATCAGGCAAAGATGACCCTGAGATCCTGGGGTGTACAAGAGGCACTGGGGCAAGAAATAAATTCAAGTGTCTGTTTGTAGGTTCTCTGTCGGGTCACGGCATGGAATTTCATTCCTTTCCCCAGGAAAGAGATATCATTCCGAGGTGAACGACAAACCACAGGGCTGTTTGGCACATTTGGCCCCAAGAGTTAAGTCCACATGGATAAAAGTTTCTTGCAGAACAACAAGAAAAAGACAAATACCCCAAAGATGTACAAGCCATGCATGGGGGCAGGCCCCTCTTGCAGTCCAGCGGTCCTGTAGTCCGAGCCTGCGCGTGGTGGCTGTGCCTGTGGAGGTCGGTGCACAGGACACCATCCATCCCTGTCCACTGACCCTCGATTCCATGTGGGTGCTGGCCAGTGACACTTGAGAGGAGCATGGGTCAGAGCAGAACCCTCTTTCAGAACGCTCTGCAGGCCCCCAGAGCTGACCCTGAGCACAGGGGCTGCAGACTAGCAGACAAGCAGGCAGAGGAGCAGCAGGGCTGGATGCACTTGCTGCTCTCCCCCAAGTGCTTCCTGTGCCCCCACATTCCGCCTTTAGACAGGTTCCTGCTTCTCCTGCCCAGACTGCCCAGGCTCATGTGCACCCAGAGCCTCTCAGATACCTCTGTGGTCCAGGCTACAGTGATAGGGCTGGTGGGCCCAGCATGCAGGGCACCTCCTTCCCAGGTTGGGGCCCCAGCAACCCAGGTCCTGAGCAGCTTTGGGGCCCTGAGCAGGAAGCGCAGGCCAGCTACCTTTGTGCCACCGGGGCAGGTCCAAAGGAGGATCAAGAATGGATGTCCAGCTGGCCAGAAGAAGGCCAGTGGGCCCTGCCCATCGCCTACAAAGCCCAACACATGTGTCCTTGCCCATGGGTACCTTGGGCAGGCCTGTTGGCCACCCACTGCTTCACAAGGGAGGCTCCCTGTGTCCAGGACTTGCCTGTACTCACAGTAGCTCTGCCCATGCACTGGGCCCATGGTAGACCAGGCACATGCCAGCAGACTCGGGGCAAGCAGGGGCAGCAGAGAGGCCAGGGAAGCCACAAAGCCCAGCT